ATATTTGACTTCTAACCAGTGGCAGCTAACAAGGACCTTTAATGTGTGATGGCATACTGGGTGGAGATAAAGTTATCCCATAGTGGGTCTAACAAACTTACTTGAATAAATGGACACATCCTGAGGCTCTAGTTAAAAATACAAGTAATAATGAAGTGTGGTTGCAGTGAAGCTGACATTTTTCCTCAGGTTTTGAGTGGCATTGAACAAATAACAGACAGGAGCTATTCTTCCACTCCTCTGTACACCAGTCTCAGCCATTGTAAAGTGAATGTTCCCCTTTCAGCTTAAATGACTTCTTTCCAAGATTAATTCCCTATGGAAGAAGCAGTAAACCTGTATCAAAGGCAATTATGAGTCTTCAACGGGTAGTGCTGTAACCTGAAGGTCTTGTCTGTAGTATGATGACAGAAGCAGCTTCTCTGGTGGTTGTTTTGGATAGCGAGAGTGAGGGAAATCACTGGAAACCCAAGCTACAGAGTCTGCCAAAACCCATTTGAGATTTTCAAGTGTATTTGCTTCTACTGTTCTAATGCAGATACAAACATCTGTGTGATCCCTGTGTTTGGCAATATCCATGATGTGTTATCCCAGTTTGCGTTGGAGAACTAAAAGAAGCCTCCCAATATTTATGTAATTTTGGTGATGGTTTTACTTTTGTGTGTTCCATATTCAAGTGTAATTACATCTAGAATGATGAAAGTGCTTAACCCACCACAACATCTGTAACTGATGAATATATTGAGTCAGCAGATATGTTTTCATGGGCTTTACATTTTGGTCAGCAGTGATTAGGGAACATTACAGCCTTTGAACGTGGAGTTGGTTGTATTCTACTGTTCCAGTGTGGTTGGCAAGTGAAGTAACACTGTATGAGGTGAAATAGAAATGCTTAAGTTTAGATGATGTATTTCAGTTGTAAGGTCCTTTCTGCTCTTAGAGTTGAAGAGATGCTTCCAAACACTGGGAATATGCTTCTGGTTTCTGGTGTTAGTAAATAAAAGGTGGGGAGGTAGCACGGGGCAATGTTATATTTCACTGTAGAGGCAAAATGCATCTTGGAATATTGAAAACATATTTAGGTAATTGCTTAAACCATGAAGATTATTTATCAAATACTTCTCTATGGTAATAATGGTTTAATCTTAATTACGTGGCTGCTGATAAAACTTGGCTTTGCTCTTCTTGTACTCCTGTATTACTGCTACACAGCTGAGTTAGTGTAACAGCACCTTTCCTCTGTAGTTTTGTCTTTCCAAGTCATGCTGCAACTACCCTTGAGGCTGTATGACTGCTTTATTCTTAGACAGAAGTAGTCATTGTCTTATAATGATGTTGGTCTCGTTCTGAAATAGTTTTGAAATAGAGTATTTTTTATAGTAAAGTAATCCTGGAAATGTGATACTTTAAGAAAGTTGAGTAGTGTTTGTGGTGAGATTTCGTCACCTGCCTTTTAATGCTGTTTGAACTGGATGGAGACACTGATTAGGTGAAGAGGCCTCCTGTACTCTCATAAATACCTTGGCTTGAAAATTACTTCTGTATGTGTTCTCCTGAAACAGGAGCTAGGAGGAGGGAGGGAAAAACTAGGAGGGGAAAAAACCCAATAATAATGATAGTTAAAATGGTTCATTTGAAATTTACTTCCAAAGGGAAGCTTGGCAAGGAGCAGCTTGCACTGAACTTGTGGCTGCTTGTTGTTTGCACAACTCTGGTTCCTTGAGACTTAGCACATGTGAGGTGGAGCTCAGCATGTTTCAGGGTGCAGATAAAATAAATGTGGATGAATTTCAGACGGGAACTTTAAATTCCTCTTTCCTTTATGTTTAGAGATGTGGGGTGGTTTGCAGTCAAGGAGGGTGCTTGTGCTGCACTTGGCTGTGCTAGAAGAGGGGTGTGATCTTTCATGGTCTTGAAAAGTTGGTGATACTGAGATCTTCCACTTGGAATATACGCTTCCACCCTTGAGAGTGGAAAGAAAAGCTGATGCAGCTTCTTGATGGACACTTGACTTGAGCCTCTTGATAGAAATTGTGGTAATTCTGTCATAAAGTTTAGTGGTTTATGCTCAGGAGAGAGGGCTGAGGAAAGTACATGGGTCATGTATGGATGGGACTGTTGTAAGAGGTGTTTCCTCAGTACAGCATTTGTTTGCATTTGTAAGGAATAAAGTGGCTGTTGTCAAAGGAGTGATGGTGCAACGTAAGAATTCATTTGGTTATAGCTGCATTGCAGTTAGTCACTACCTGTGTATATGCAAAGCTTTGTTAGGTGGAAAATGAACTGAACAGAAGATGCTTTTCTATTGTGATTTTGTGCAACTTGGACCTTGCATAACCTCAAGAACCAGTGGTACCTATGCTGGTGGTGGACCTGACTGGTAAACTTAAGATGTCTGTTGGCACATGAGCAGGGTTCTATGTTGTGTTGTCTTTTAATGATGACTACCTTGAAAACAACATTCCAGTTTTAATGAATAGGAGAGGGTAGTGACATACTACAAGATGAGAAGCCATGGAACAAGCTCCAAAAAGAGCAACTCTTTTGTTTGGGCTTCAGTTTCTTGTGGTTTTTATACTTAACTCAAAAACTGAGTCTCTCAGAACTGGGGCTACTATCTAAGAATAATGAGAAGTGGCTGGATTTTATCCATCCTTGGAAGCAATTGAATAGATCTTGTAGTTTCTGATCTCTGAAACACACAAAGATCTCCTGTACATAGGCTGAGTTGCCGCTACTTGCAGATCTGCGATTGCCCTGGGAAAGTAATTAGTTTTCATTCAAAATGAATAGATTATTTATTCTCTAAAGTGAGCTTTTATCAACAACAGTAGAAAAATCCCTCAAGCTTGCTGCTGGGGAATTTCCTAGCCTCTGGAAATTTAAGGCATTTCTTATTGAGTCCCTGTAGACCATCGCTATCACTATTATGTGCAACTTCTCTGCCGTATGACAGGTTCATTGTAGTCTCCTCTACTGGAGTTTCCTTGAATTCCCCTTGTGTGTTATCAGAATGATGGCAGCTGCTGTAAGGAGGAAAGAAAATAGAATCATTTCCTACGTGGGTGATGGGTTCATTCAGGAAACACCTGAGAGTTTCAAGCCACAGCCTGAATTGCATCAGCAAAAGCAATTTGTCTCTCTGGCTATTTCTGTTGCTGGAAGTAGTAGTCAACAGGGAGAATAATATTGTGGTCTGAGATTCATATTAGAGTGAAGAAACTTCAAATACACAGGATCACTGGCTGCTCAGCTGACTTCTGAAAATCAAAGTAGCCCTTTTCCTTCTCTAATGTGGTTTCAGATGCTTAATGCCTGAACATCCAATTTTCTTAGCTTCCATGCCACAGCGTTCTACACAGTGGACTAATTTCAAGTTGCACCAAACAGTAGCTTCCTGAAAATATATGGATTGCATGTGGGTAAATTCAGCTTTATTGGGGAACTAGGGAAAAAAAAGCAACTTAGTTCTGCACGTTGGATGCACCCTTCTTGAAATAGCCTTCTTGTGTGATTCATGTTCAGTAGTAGCTCCAAGTGTTCAGGCTGTTGCTACTGAGCAGTATTACAGGGAGCTTGCAAATACCTCAATCAGTGCAAATTCACTGGAGCCCTTCCAGAGGCGATGGAAATCTAATGCATTGCTGCTGGTGGTCACTCCAAGATCTATCACACAACCTGTCAGTCCAGATGATTCTGGTTTGACCAGTAGAAGGGACATTTTAAGGAAACTCTTAGCTTTGAGTTAAAAGAATAAAGGTTGTAACTGCAGAGGGCCGGTGTTCTTTACCTTTCACTTGGCTGAGGTACAGTGGCAGTGTCTCATGTGGAGTTAACCCAGACTCTAGCTGAGGGTGCTGGTGGGGAGTTGGTGAGTGGCTCTGGGGTGGTAGCAGGGGATTGTTCTGTGTGCTTGAGGATCCTGGCCCATGGCTCCGTGCTTGCAAATACTCTTGTAACCAACAGCAAGTCCGGTTTCTTAGATCTAAACTTGCACTGAATTAGAAAAGGTGTAATTGATGTTAACTGTATTGATTAGATGATTAGGGAAGTAAAAATGTGGGATTATCTCTTCCCTTCTAGTTCCCCAGCAGGAAACTGGGTGATGTGTGAAGGTGATGGGTTATAAGATCCAATCTCCATGTGCTCTGGTACAACCTTTTGTGCTTGCTTTACTAGTTTCCTTTTTATCTGGAAAAGCAGATTTTGTTGGTGCACTTGTAGCTACTGTGGCTTGGTTTCAATTAATTAATTCCTGTAATCTGTGGATTACAGGTTAGCTCTATTTCTGGAATAGCAGGGTAGGGGCAAGCCTTTGGAACAGATTGCCCTGGAGGTGGCAGATGGCATCATTTCCTCTGTACCAGCTTTATAGGGCAGCCGTCGCTAGTGGTGTGGAGATGTAGAACAGGACAGCTGTTTCCTAAACTTTGTTTGCTTTGAGGGAGTAGAAGGTGTAGACTCTTTCTTGCACTTACCCTTTCCTAGATATGTGTGTGGGGTTTTTGTTCACTTGTGTGCTTCCTATTCAGCTTCAGGTATAGAATAAGTGTTCTCATGGCGCAATCCCATCCAAGAAGTTGTTGTATTTCTGCAGTGAACAAAATAACGAAGGAGTTATGAGATCTTTTTGAGGATGGGGATAGCTTCAGCCGTTTCACAGGCACTTCTTAAGTTAGCATTGCCATACATGCTTCAGAAGACCACTTTGTGTTTTACTCTCTGGTGTTTTCCATACTGAATTGCTTTAGGATGTGGGGTTTCTTTTGGTTTTGATTCTTGTTTTCAGAAATTGAAAGAATTTTGAATATTAACATGGGCTTTTCCCCTCTTTCTTCCCCTCCATCCTTCAAGAACCTTTTTAAAACGCTGGGGTTGTTGGAGTGGTTGAATTTTTCCTGGATTTGAGTGAGAAATTCAGAAGACTGAAGCCCAGGCTCACTGTCTACCTTTCACGGAGGCCCAGCCGTGAGAGGACAGAAGAAGGCACGTGGCGAATCATGACAGCAGACAAAGAAAAAGACAAAGACAAAGAGAAGGACAGGGATAGAGACCGGGATAAGGAGCGAGACAAGAGAGACAAGGTGAGGGAGAGCGAGAACTCGCGTCCTCGGCGGAGCTGTACGTTGGAAGGAGGAGCCAAGAACTATGCGGAAAGTGACCACAGTGAAGACGAGGACAATGACAACAACAGTGCCACCACAGAGGAGTCCACAAAGAAAAGCAAAAAGAAACCACCCAAGAAGAAGTCCCGATACGAGAGAACAGATAACGGTGAAATAACGTCCTTCATCACAGAGGATGATGTTGTGTACAGGCCTGGAGGTAAGAGACTCTTATGTTTCCATTTGAAAGTCATTGTGCACCAGAACTACCAGTTAGTTGGCTGCAGCACACAGCAGAACATGTTATCTGTTAATTTTCATGATGATTGTCCTAGGGTCAGGTTGCCACTTCTCCATTGGAGACACAAACAGAGATAAGCATGCAAAAGCTTTTGACCCTATCTTGTAATATCCGATTTGTTGGAACGAACTTGACTTCTCTTAGAAAAAGACCCACCCTTTTCTCTTTCTTTTACATTAATTATCTGTGCATCATATGGCATCTCTGTCCCTGGGAAGCTCAAAACTAAATTGCATGAAGCATGGAGTGCTTTGCTCCAGCTTTGAAATGAGTCCTGACCTGAGATTGAGACCTGATCTGAGATAGAGATTTGAGTAAGTGGTGGAGAGGGAGAGCTTCCAACCTTCTCACAAGTTTTTCTGTGAAGCTGTGATTACTTTGTAGAGCTCCTCTTCTGTTTGTGAAATATAAATTGGATGACTTAAGATCCTGTACCTATTATGCCATTAATTTCATTCCCTCATTAGCAGCTAGCTAATGGCCATGCACAGCAGCTTAACTGTTGGTGAAAACACACAGTGTCAGCATCAGTGAGTATCTGGGATGTTGGGACAGAAGCAGAAGCTGGCAGTGTGCTCGGGAATGGCTTGGACATGCTGTTTAATTACTGCCAAGTTCTTTAGGGTCTCATGTAAGGTCTGAAGATGTAACCTGTGGCTGCTGCCAGCTAACTTCTTCCTCAACATTAAATTGTACTTGAAAATTGCTCTTCAGCTTGCTGCATTCCTCATTTTTGAGTGAAAGCTTCTGTGTTTATCTGTTAAAATATTGACTGCAGTTGCTTGTCCCACCACAAAGGGATAGTTGTGTTTGGCTTTACTCTTCAAGGCACTGGCTTAAAGGCTCTGGTAGCTTTGTATTACTCTTCTGTAAAAGTTTTAGTAGTAGCACTGCTGGAGTGAAATAGAGATGGATTCAACCTAAAAACCATGGGAACTAGTGAGGTAAAATCTTTCGTGACTTCTTCCATGAGGTGCTGTATATCTCAAGTACTAAAATGTCATTGTATGAATACAGATGTAAATGTTCTAAAGGCTTTCTCCAGTTGTAGGTGCTGTAAATGCTCTAAAACGCAGTTTTATGTGTGGACATCATCAGCTGCAGATAGAGATGGGCTGAAATTCTGCTGGGTTTAGGTGTTGAATTCTTCAGCTGTTCTCCTGTGGTTGGGAGAGTTTATTATCATTCAGATCTACCCAAGTTTGTCAGAACAGCTTATTTATTGGAATGCTTCAAATATTATTTCAAACCATTCCAAGACATATTTTTCTCTTGGTCAGGGGATGTAGCTGAGTAATACTTGTTGCTTGAGCAGTAGCAATAGGGAGCCTGCAAACACGTCAGCTTTGGTGGCAATTGTTATTTTCCACGCTGGAGGATGAAAAATAATTTGGAATCTGTTGCATCAGCTTTGGTGGCAATTGTTATTTTCCATGCTGGAGGATGAAAAATAATTTGGAATCTGTTAAGAGCAGCTGTTGTGTGGGCCCAGTAGTACAACGTGGTACATGGGCTCTGTTGCTAAAGGACTTCGCTTCAAATTAAGGTGGAAATTCGGTTTGTGATTTCAATTTTATCCTGTAGTAGGAGGGAGAGGTTTTCTCCCTCCTTATCCGGTAAGTGCAGTGCTCCTTTAGTGTAGTGGTACTTGGATAGAGGGGTGTTTGCACAACA